CTAACTTGTGGACACATGCAAACAAGCCACACTGCAACCATCTGAACACAACCAACCAATCTCTGGACCCCGCAACCCCTCGCAATGCCAGTGAAGATAAATAGATATACAAGGAAAGGACCTACCCATGGGATGCTGACACAAACCCCCACACAAACACTATGCAATAGAATGATAGAACAGTACCCTGTAGGGATATCGTGGAGAGTGGGGGGTGGGGTCCGGAAGGAGCACATTCCCCCACCCGCAGGCAGCATCAGTCTGCCTGCATGCGTGACCCTGGGGTGCGCAACATTCTCCCCCTCACGGAAATGTCTGAGGACATCATAGCCTGTATCTAACCTCTTTTGCGGTCTCAGCAGCCTGCCGTGCCCTGTCTGTAACCTCTGTCCTTTGAGACCTTTGTCTCTTTCTAGAAAAACATTATGCAAAGGAAAAGTGACGTGTGGAAACAAGTGCCAAAATAACTTTGTGCCACCCCTCAATCTCGGGATTCGAAGATTTGTAAAGGTCACAGCCCAAAATGCATCTGCTTGATTTTGCATGTGTGCATCAATAAAAAGAGCTACTGTGGGCTTGACAATTAGCGTGCACCTGCATTGCTCACTTGCTGATCAACACCTGTCTCGTGCCTTCACTTCAGTACCCCCATCTCTTCCCCACTCTCCCCCCCCCCAGCCATAAGAGTGTCCCATTTCTGCCACCATTGCTGTGTGGTTCAAATTTTCATCTGACAGGCTGGGCTAGGGAGCTGTCCAAAAAGGTTTCCAAGCAGCAGAGGAGATGTCCCGCTACCGCGTCATATAGAACTAGGAGTTCAGCCTATCAAGGTGTTGCATCAGCAACTTCCGAGCACTAACTGAATAGCTTTACAGCACCACTTCCAGGCGTGGGAACCTATGGCATGCTATAGACTGGGGCATAATTTATGTGTCCCTGATGATGAGCTACTTAGATGGGTACTGAGATTCTTTTAACAGAAAACGCTGTGCCGGTCCTTAGACGTCTGATCTTGCAGAAACTGAAGACCAAAACTGGTGTCTTCCACTTGCAAATTGTTTGCTCTGTCCTTGGGTAAAAGGGCAGGCAGGTAGGTTCAGCATCAGCACCTAGCTTTTTGGGACATTTGCTTGGGGCCCCTGTGTCCCAGCAGGACTAATAGAGCTGACATCTTGACTGGGCTATGTCCTTGATGCAGCAACCAGACCAGCCTCTCATTCGCCTTGAAAAAAAGGTAAAAGGGTAAAGGACCCCTGGACGATTAAGTCCAGTCAAAGGTGACTATGAGGTTGCAGTGCTCATCTCGCTTTCAGGTCAAGGGAGCCGGCGTTTGTCCACAGACAGCTTTCCATGGCATGTGGCCAGCAGGACTAAACTGCTTCTGGTGCAATAGAACACCGCAACAGAAACCAGAGTGCATGTAAACACCGTTTACCTTCCCGCCACAGTGGTACCTATTTATCTACTTGCACTGATGTGCTTTCAAACTGCTAGGTTGGCAGGAGTTGGGACAGAGCAATGGGAGCTCACCCTATTGCAGGGATTCAAACTGCTGACGCTCTGATTGGCAAGCCCAAGAGGCTCAGTAGGTGGTTCACCTGGTGCTACTACAGTTGCCTTGGAGCCAAGCAATGCTTGGTGACCACCATATTTGATTTATCGCAATGCTATAAGAAATCAGGTATGAAAATTGCCTTATGTGGATCCGGGTTGAGCGGCAGCTCAGCTCCGGGGTCTTTGCAGCGTCACCACCATAGAATCGCAGCAGGAGGGGATATGCATACAAGACCCCTAAGAAACAAACAAATCGACCTTGCTTCTATTAGTGCCCTCTTCTACCAGACCAAATAAATCTGTACCATTGCATTTAGTATGAAGGCCGTTCCATACATTACAAAGCTTAATCTAAACAAAGTGGTGGTGGTTTTTTTTGGGGGGGGGAGACACACAACCCCCCCCCCAAATGCAACTGAGCTTCCTGGGAGCTTGGACAGCCTCTTCCCTGAGGCAGTGGAAGAAAACGTAATCTCAGAGAAGAGGCCCTCGTTTGATGTAGAAGGACTTTGCCAAAATATGCTCACAGCTTTCAGAGCAGGCTGCGCATACATTATTGAAGAGCTGTGTTTTTATTTGCTGTTCCAAGTTGGCAGCGATGCAAATGTAAAATTTAGAAGCCACAGGAAAGGAACGAGGGATTGAAGTGGAGGCGAAGAGCTCGGGAAGGTCCCCCTCCTTTTCCATTGGGTGTTTTGTGTGTGTGTGTGTTAAAGTTGCATCATGGCAAAATTCTTCATTTCATAATCATTTTTTTTCTCTCCCCATCATTCTTGTAGCAAGCTCTGTTTGAGTGATCCATGGAAAATGGTGAAATCTGAAAGCTGCTCTAAGCAAAAGACAATAGCAGCAGTGCATTAAGCCACAGAGGGAGACAAATAAACAAATGCCAACAGTAGAAAAGAAAAAAGACACAAAGAGGCTCATATTGTCCTGTGCATGCATGCAACGGCACACGTGGGTTTTGTTCTTAAGTTGGATTTGAGAAAGGGCCATAGCTCAGTGGCAGAACACTTGCTTTGCATGCAGAAGGTTGCCGGTTCAATCTCCCACATCTACAGATATGGCTGGTAATGTCGCTTGTCTGAAATCTTGGAGAGTTGCAGCCAGTTACTGTGGGGAGCCCTCAGCCCACAGACCACATTTGGCCTGGCCCGGCTCTCAGTTTGCTCGTGAGGCCATTATCCCCAAACCACGCATGCCTAATATTGTATATGACATCAGATGAGAGACAGGCAGAGGCACAGCTGGCTTAGTTGCCAAACTGAGATTCTCGTGAGCATTCCTACAGAAAGCAAGTCTGAACTCACTTCTCCCACCAGCTGATATACAGTGACTTCCAGAAATCTAAAAGTAATAAGTTGTAGAGGCAGAATGTAGTGGAATTACATGGGTTCTTTTTACACGCCAAGAGGAATCACAGCTGGAATGGCAGCTTTTATTTTCTGGAGAAAGGCTTCCCCTCCATTAAGAACTTCCTAGACATTGCTTGTTCACCACCCTGCAGAGGGCACAGTGTTTCATTAAGGTTTTAACTCTAATTAAACTTGTGGTTGGGAGAGGGTCTCCTTTCCGTCTCCCCCTACCCCCAACAGACCCAGATCGCTTTGAATGGACCTGATCTGAGGCCGTCTCAACCTGCTCAATGAGAATCACAGGTAGAACGAAATCAGCCTGATCTGGCTTGGGAGCTAGGATTTGGCTGGAGTTATTGCACAGCTCTAATTATATTACAGCTGAGCATTGAATATTTTTGAATAGTTTTGAGCAGCCCCCACGTGTTTGAGAGATATGTGGCTGGATGCACAATCCTGTCTGTATCATGTCATTTGAGCCCTGTTGATCTGACTTACGTGTTTCTTGATATAACTGGAAATTTACCTTTACATCATGGCCAGGGGTCAGCAAACAGCCTTCTCAGGCAACTCCTGAAATCCCAGAATGTCCCACCACTGATGTCTGCCCAAAGACCTCCTTATAAACAAGAAGGCTGCTGGTTCTGGGAGCTGGCATGTTAATTTCTCATCGTATCCTGATGGAGCATCACTTTGGGACATTGGGTGAAATTTATATAGCCTTTAAGTGTGGGATCTGGGGGTTGCCCTTTAGATTTCCCATAGTGCTTTGGTGTGATATTATATGAAATTAAAATTGGTGACATTCTACAAAATTATAATTGTGGCTGCATAGGAATACCGCTGTCTGCCAACATTGCCATCACCAGCTAAGCCTGGCAGGAGGGCCCATCAGACTGCGTTTGCTGAGTCTTGCTCTAAAACTTAGATCTTTCTATATTGGACACCAGTTTTCCACTGACTGTGGCGACAGTTATGTTAGAACAATGGTATCATGTCTTCATTTAGATTTGCATTTTTTAAAAGTCAAATACCATTCCAATGTTTCTGCATATGTCTCAGCTCCCCGATCAGACCTGATGCTCACTGGACAGCCTTGGGCAGATCAATCCATGTCAATCTTATAGGATTGTTGTGTAGATTGATGCATACTTGAGGAACCCCATGCCCTCCAATAGGTTAATAATAATAATAATAATAATAATAATAATAATAATATCCCTCCCATCTGACTGGATTGCCCCAGCCACTCTGGGCAGCTTCCAACATATATAAAAACATAATATAACATTAAACATTAAAAAAACCTTCCCTATACAGGGCTATCTTCTAAAGGTTGTGTAGTTCCTTGCTTCCTTGGCTCAAGGATCACATAACTCCATATGCTCCAACATTTATCTGATGAAAATAGGGACATCCTAAGGAAAAGCGGGACTTTCCGGGATGAAATAAGAAACAGTGATGGCTTCTGTAAATCTGGAACTGTCCCCGGAAAATAGAGACATTTGGAGGGTCTGGAACCCCAAAGCACTCTGCAGAATCTGGAAAAAACAACAATGAACAAACCCTGAAATGGAACGGATTCCTAATAAGATAAGATCGAGGGGCAGGGTTTAATTAGGCAGCATTGTGTCTGAGTGCCAGCCTATTTGTTCTCAATATTTAAAGAGCCTAGTTAGCAAGGCAATCAGCCAGGATATGTCAGTAATAAATAAAACGGAACAAACAGATGTCTGCAGCTGACACATTTTTCAAGGCCGCTTGGCTGGTACAGCTCAAATGGTGCAGAATGGAAGGAGAAGCAGAGCTGCAGGGAGACAGAATCCCCCCAACAACCTGATTAATAAGATCTGGATGAAATCCAGGCATTTTACTAATTTCCCATGCCCTGATGTTTCACTGGCTAATTACATGTACGCTTTTTGACACGCAAGGAGCAAAAAACCAAAACATTTTCCGAGACGAAACGTCTTAGCAGTGCTTAGCAATGCAGCCTGGAAACGGCAGCATCGCAATGCTCACATCTCCTCCTGCGCACCCGAAAAAGGGAGACGAGCAAGACGTTAAACGGCTACCGTGTCTCAAAGAAAAGGAAGGCAGTTCTGTGTTGACATGTTTAAATGGAGGCTCGGCTTTCAAGGCAAGGCATGAAGCGAAATACGGACAATTATCGGAGAAAGAGACAGTCCGACAGATAGGCAGGCTTCTGGGATAGCAGCACGCTTAGAGGCCCAGCCTATTTCCGCAGGAAAATGCAGGAAACCTGCTCTTCACATCTGAAAGATGTATGTAAATTCCTGGCTGATATATCATCAAGAGACAGTCTGTAATTCTGACATCAGCTGTGCTTTTTTGCACGCCTGGGACAGTCTGTATGACGAACTGCTATGCTAGCAAAATGCAATCCTCTACTTCCTTTCACCCAGGTACATTCCCCCACCCCCCTTGAAGCATTCATCAAAGATGAATTGTAGTGGCTGAATGTGAGTCTCGAGCCAGGAAGTCCTTGACTTCAAATGTCTCATCTACCATGAACTCATTAAGCTGCAGCCTGGTCAAGTGGCTGTGTCACCTGGTTGTTCAGCTTTGATGGGTAGCTGCTGAGCTGATGCTGGAAGTTTAACAAACTGAAGGGCATTATCCTCTTCTTCTTTTTAAAAAAATTATTTTATTTACATCTCGCCTTTCTCCCAATGCAGGACCCAAGGCGTCTGACAGGAGAAATTGAAACAGATACAAGAAAAAGCACACTGTATGGATATTTAAAAGCAATTCAGTGAGTGATTCTATTAAAAACAAGGATGAAAACTATTTAAAAGCATTGCTTTCCTCCAAAGACCTGTTTCTTCTTAAACTATGGAATTGGTTTAAATTGTTTTATATATAATGTTTTCTTTCTATGCTCCTCCTGATCGAAACATGCAAATGGGGACAGATATACCCCTTCTTTAAGTCATTTACATACTGCCTTCTCTCTTGTATATTATTTACTACAAAGCTTGATGACTAAGCTCTTTAGCGACGAAACGTCTGATTACTGGAACAACATCTGAGTGCTGAACCACTGATATATTGCAGAAAAACTCTTTATTTACTGTGTTTGCAGTCATTTAAGATAAAACCTGTTTGGGAAAGAAACTACTTTTGCCATTTTTATGGATGTTTCTTGTTTGTTTACAGAGAGTTGCCTTGGTTATATTATCTTGGGTCTATTGAGCTGCTCACACAAGGAATCATTAGCTCTTCCTGTCTCATCATCCCCACAATATAGCTTTAACCTTGTATTTTTCTAGAGACATTTTTTAAAAAATAATTTTTATTAAATTTTCAGTTTTACAATTCCAAATAAACATTTTGTAAACATTAAAATACTCAATGACTTCCCTTCTTCTCTTTCCGTGGTTCGTTTTACGTTATCTACATCCCTGCATATTTTATTTTAACCATTCAAATCTGTTTCCCACTTTTACATCCATCAAAAATTATTTACTCTGTTGAATTTATCTTAATGCTGCCAGTGTTTTCAGCTGTATATAGTTATTTTCCATATATTCAATCAATGTTTTCCAGCCCTTTTTAAATGTAGGTTCCACTTGCTCTCTTATTCTACATGTTAAATCTGCAAGTTGGGCATATTCTGTCAACTTAAGTTGCCAATCCTCTTTAGTCAGGACCTCGCTCGTTTTCCATTTTGGGGCTAACAAAACACGGGCCGCAGTTGTTGCATACATAAATAACCTTTGCTGACACCTAGAAATTTCCATCTGGGTTATCCCTAACCAAAAGGACTCTGACTTTCGAGGGGAAAGTGGTTTTGAACATTTTTTTACAATAGGAGAACAGTCCAATTGGAGAACAGTCTTTACCAAAGGTGTCATGGGCTTTGAAGATGCTCAAACTCAGGAAAAAAGGGAGAAATGTGCTAAGAGGAAGGCGCATTTGGCAAACCATTGCCATAATCAACTCTCACCTTTGTCCCCACTGTGGAAGGACTTGTGGATCCAGAATAGGCCTCCACAGTCACGTATGGACTCACTGTTAAGACCATGTTCATGGAAGACAATTTCTTTTTTCTTTCTTTTTTTTTTAATGATAT